GGGGGGGGAGTTTACAATCAATGGCCTGTAGGGTTAGTTGCACAGGTTTTGGGGTTAGTGACTTGGTCTGGATCCTATCTCTATCATGTAATCTCCGTGTGGTCCCGGGCAACTCACTTTCCCTGTCTAAGCCTCAGTTTTCCCAACTGCAAAATTGGCTAATAGTGGCAATCCTAAAATCTGTTCTGAGGATTAATAAAATAATGCACATAATCCCAAATCAAACTATCTTTAATCATAAAAAAAAGAATTTCTTGGCTCATATATACCTGAAAAGTCCAGGAGGAACAGCTTCAGGCATAGCTGGATCTGATGGCTCAAATATTGTCATCAGAAACAATTTTGTAGCTCTGCTTTCTTTTGCTGTGGCTTCATTCCCAAACAATCCATGCTAAATCGCTCTACTTTTTTTTTTTCTTAATGTTTAATTTAATTAATTTATTTATGTATTTATTCTGAGAAAGCACGAGCGGGAGAGGGGCAGAGAGAGAGGGGCAGTGGATCTGAAGCGGGCTCTGTGCTGACAGCCCTGAGCCCAATGTGGGGCTTGAACTCACAAACCGTGAGATCGTGACCTGAGCTGAAGTTGGACGTTCAAACGACTGAGTCACCCAGGTGCCCCTAAATCACGCTACTTTTCACCACCGCTATGACCCTAGTCCAAAACAGCACGGTTTCTAGCTTGATGATGGCAACAGCCTCCTAACTGGTCTCCCTTCTTCCCACACCCCTGCCTCTCACTCCAAGCCTCATCTCCACAGAATGATCTTTTAAAAATGCGACGCCTGTGACTCCTCTGCTCGAAACCTTCTACTAGCTTCTCCGAATAAGATCCAAACCCCTCTCCGTGGCCTGCCTGGCCCCTCAAACTCCACCCGCTGTCTGACTCCCTGAAGGTTCTTGCTCTTTCACTCCATTGCACTGGGCTTCTCGTTTTTCCTCGGGCTGGGGGTGTTCCTCTGCCAGGACCTCACCCCTACGCCGCGTTGCCTAACTTCATTGGTAATTCAACTCCCTTGATCTCCTCTCTCCTAGGTCTCCACCCAGGATTCCAAGTCCAGTAGAAGGAAGAGCGCCTGCTTGCCCACCAGTGGGAACCCAAGTCCAGGGCTGGCTTTCATTGGCCAAAGGGCACATCCCTGAACCAATCACTGTGGCCAAAGGAGTGAGATTCTCCGATTGGTTAGGCTCAAGTCACATGCCCACCTGGAGCTCAAGCAAGTGTGGGCTGAGCGGACAAAGACAGTTCCCCTGAGAAAAATTGAGGTCCTGTTACTGGAAGGGTGAAATAATGCTGGGCAGCAAAAATAACACGTGTATTTTTCGGTTTGCTCAGAGCCTGACATGTAAGAAATGTTGGGGGGGAAAAAAGAAAGAAAAGAAAAAACCGAGTTGCACTGCCTGCAAGAACACCCAGGGGTCCCCTTCATCAACATTCACTCATTTAACAAAATCTTATTGATATCACTTAATTCCAGAGTCCAAAAGGACTCTGCTACTCTCTTGATTTAAAATGATAATGTAAGGGTGCCTGGGTGCCTCAGTCAGTTGGGGGTCTGACTCTTGATTTTGGCTCAGGTCATGATCCCAGGGTCGTGGGATTGAGCCCCACGTCGGGTCCCCACTGAGCGTGGAGCCTGCTTAAGACTCTCTCCCTCTACCCCTCTCCCCCGCTCATGCTCTCTCTCTCTCTCTCTCTCAAATAAAAAGAAAATTAAAAATGGGGGGCCCCTGGGTGGCTCAGTCAGTTGAACATCCAACTTTGGTTCAGGTCATGATCTCACCGTTCATGGGTTTGAGCCCCACATGGGGCTCTGTGCTCTCAGTGCAGAGCCCGCTTTGAATCCTCTGTCCCCCTCTCTCTCTGCACCTCCCCCGCTCACGCTCTCTCTCTCTCTCCCAAAAATAAACATTAAACAAAAATTAAATGGCATAATGTAATTGGTGATACGTCTTTTCTTTTTTTTTTTTTTTAATTTTTTTTCAACATTTATTTATTTTTGGGACAGAGAGAGACAGAGCATGAACGGGGGAGGGGCAGAGAGAGAGGGAGACACGGAATCGGAAACAGGCTCCAGGCTCCGAGCCATCAGCCCAGAGCCCAACGCGGGGCTCGAACTCACGGACCGCGAGATCGTGACCCGGCTGAAGTCGGACGCTTAACCGACTGCGCCACCCAGGCGCCCCAATACGTCTTTTCTAGAACAGTGCCTGCCATTCATTCAACAATATTGATTGGGCTTTGATTTATCATTGGAGAGGAGCTCAGCTCACAACTGTGAATACCATAGGTGACCCCTCTCCTCCTGGGGCTTGTACATTCTAATAGAAAGGAGACAGTCAAAAAGAACAGTTTGAATGGAGACCAAAGCCACTCATAAGGCTAATACCTTAGGGTGAAAAATCGAGTGAAGTGGGCCTCTTCTTTACTGAATAGCTTTTTGTACCTTTGGAATTGTATACTTTTATTAGTAATTTAAAACAACATTGATTCATTATCTTTAGAAGTAATGCCATAGAGATACACTGCATCCATTAAGTGGGTAAAGTAAAAAGTCTGGCAACGCCAAATAACCCGGAGGATGTGGAACAACCGAACCTCTCATGCACTGACGGTGAGGACGTAAAATGCTACAACCACTTTAGAGGACTATTTGGCAGTTCTTACAAGAGTAAATCTACAACTACCCTATGATCCAGCAACTTCACTTTTTTTAAAAATTATTTTAATGTTTGTTTTTTTTGAGAGACAGAGCACAAGCAGGGGAGGGTCAGAGAGAGAGGGAGACACAGAATCTGAAGCAGGCTCCAGGCTCTGACCTGTCAGCACAGAGCTCGATGTGGGGCTCGAACTCACGAACTGTGAGATCATGACCTGAGCTGAAGTCAGATGCTTAACTGACTGAGCCACCCAGGTGCCCCTATTTTATTTTATTTTTTAATGTTTATTTATTTTTGAGAGAGAGAGAGAGAGACAGAGTGCAAGAGGGGAAGGGGCAGAGAGAGAGGGAGACACAGAATGTGAAGCAGGCTCCAGGCTCTGAGCTGTCAGCACAGAGCCCGACGCAGGACTCGAACCCACCGACCACAAGATGGTGACCTGAGCTCAACCTAGTAGGACGCTCAACCTACAGAGCCCCCCAGGGGCCCCCAGCAATTCCTTCCACTCTTTTATCCAAGATAAATAAAACCTCAGGTCCACAAAAAGATTTGTGTAAGAATATTGATAGGGGCACCTGGGTGGCTCAGTCAGTTGAGCCCCTGACTCTTGGTTTCAGCTCAGGTCATGATCTCACAGTTTCGTGAGTTCGAGCCTCCAGTCGGGTTCTGTCCTGGCAGCGCAGAGCCTGCTTGGGATTCTCTCTTCCTCTCCCCTGCTCACACTGTCTCTGTCTCTCTCAAAATAAATAAGTAAACTTAAAAAAATAATAATATTGGGGTGCCTGGATGGCTCAGTTGGTTGAGCGTCTGACTTTGGCTCAGGTCATGATCTTGCCATCTGTGGGTTCCAGCCCTGCGTCAGACTCTGTGCTGACAGTTCAGAGCCTACATCCTGCTTTGGATTCTGTGTCTCTCTCTCTGCCCCTCCCCCACTCACACTCTGTCTCTGTCTCTGTCTCTCTCTCTCTCAAAATAATAAATACACATTTAAAAAATTAAAAAAATAATAATATTGATAGTTGATATAACCCTAAGCTGAAAACAATACAAATGTCCATCAACAGAAAAAATGGTTAAGCAAGTTATATTATAGTTATACAATGAACTACTCATCAGTTTCAATTTTTAAAAATTACTGACACATACAACAATATGGATGACTCTCAAAAAAAGAAGAAAAAGTGTATGGGTGAATCTCGAGAAGATTATGCTGAGTGAAAGAAGCTAGACTCAAAAAAACATATTGTATGCTTTAATTTATATTGTTCTAGATAGAACAGGCAAAACTTACCTGTTGTCAGAGAAGGGAGTCCAGTGGTTGCCTGGGGTGGGGTGTGTGGGATTCATTGGGTAGGAACTCTTAGAACTTTCTCTGGGGCTGGAGATGTTCTGTCTTGATAGAGATGTGGGTTACAGGGGTGTTTTCATTTCTGGGAACTCGTGGAACTGCACGTGTAAGTTCTGTCTGTGCATTTCATCGAATGTAAACGATAACTCCTTAAAAAAAAAAGTATTTGAATAGGGAAGTTACCGTATACTAGGGAAATGTACGACAGGGTAACTCCTGGGGGGTATGGGGGTGTGGGCGAACTGGGGGTAGGGTAGAGATCAGGGAAGGTCTGCACCAGAAAGTGAGATTTCAAAGCCCCTAGGGGGACGTCAAACTGTCCTGATGAAGCAGGATAAGGGAGGGGCGACCTCAACACAGAAATGTTAGCGTTTGATCTGTGGAGACCTTCCAAAAACAAGTATCTAACGTTCATTTTGTACCTGCCGCTTTATATTGGTGTTTTCGCACTTAATCTCATAGTGACCCTTCCACATCAGCATTTTGGCTCCCACTTTACAAGTGAGGAAACTGAGATTCAGGGAGGGGGTCGTCGAATGGCTTCCTGAAGACCAACAACCAGGACGTGGTGTCAGGGCTGCTTCCTCGGTGTCAGTTTCCCTGAAACATAACCTGAAACAGTAACCGCAGACGCTGCAGGTCGGGAGGACTGGAGCAAAGGAAAGTCCTAGGGAACAAAAGAAGGGCTGGGCTGGCGCGCTCGCACCTCCCACCTCCCCAGGCGCCGGCTCCCAGGTCTCCAGAGAAAGCGGGGTGGGGGCGGGAGCGCGGAAGGCTGGCTCCACTCCGCTGAGTCAGCGGCTCCCGAGACCCAGGCGGGCGGCTCTGGAACAAAGGGAGTCCGCGTGGGACTGGTCGGGGGTTGGGGGGCCAGGGCGGGGGAGAAGGAGCCGGGCCGGAGCCGGGGGAGAGGGGCGGGGAGCGGCGGGGCCCACGCAGAGTGGGGCGGGGCGTGCCCCTGAGAGTAGGGGCGGAGAGGCGGGGCCCATGCAGAGTAGGGCGGGGCCTGCGCCTAAGAGTAGGGGCGGAGAGGCGGGGCCCATGCAGAGTGGGGCGGGGCCTGATTCTGAGAGTGGGGCGGAGGGGCAGGGCCCATGCAGAAAGAGGCGGGCCTGCGCCTGAGAGTGGGGGCGGAGGGGCGGGGCCCGGGAGGAGTGGGGCGGGGCCCGAGCTCGCAGGGGCGGGGAGCCTCGGGGTCCCGCAGGGGCCCCTATCCCAGGAACGCGGCCGCTGGAGAGAGCCGAGCGGTGGGGAACGCGCCAAGGGGCGCCGGATGGGCTCCCCGAACCTGCGCGCCGCCCGCTCCGCAGCCCCGCGCGTCCCCAGTGTGCTCAGGCCCGAGGCTCCACCGCTAGGGGCTGGGTCCTGGACCGAGTCCTTCTCCTGCGTGGTCCTGTTTCCTCTTCTGTGAATTGACGATGACAGGTCTTGTTTTGCCGGGTGTTGGGAGAGTGGGTTGCGAGAACGGAAGTGAGGAGGAGGGCTTGCTGTCATCTCCTTAACAGACGTCTATTTTGTACTTGCTAGGAAGAACTGTCTTAATAACTGTACTAACACTTCACTCACACATTTCCATTTATTGCACGAAACAATCCATAAACTAGGTAATATTATCACCCCCATTTTACAGCTGAGAAAAATGAAGCTCACACGCGCTTATGTGGCATGCCCACATGAAGACAAGTAAGTGGCAAGCAGCAGGACTTAAACCTTGGGTCTCACTTCACGTTTTTGGAGTCTTTCTCACCCTAAGGTTCATGCTCTAAACTAGCATTCATTTGTTCATTCATTCATTCATTCAAAGATATTTATTGATCACCTCTGTGCTAGGTCATGTGTTGGGTGTAAGAATACAGGGAACAAGTGACAGTCCCTACAGAAATGAAGATTACAGTATAGTTGGAAGACAGTGAGCAAGTAATGACAACAATAATTACTCGGTTAAAATTGCAGTATGTAATTGCATTTTGGTGGGAAAGTAAGGGAACTACAAGAACAGTGTTTCCTCAACAATGAGTGCCTATCATGTGCCAGGTTCTATCCTAAACCCTTTATGATTTGACTTGGGTTTCCCGCCCACTTAAGATCTTGACCAGACTCCTTTCAACATTGTATTAACCAGATTTCTAGCAGTTGCAAATGACAGAAACCTACCACAAGCTAAAGCAAAGAAGGAGGTGAGGGGGAGGAGAATTACTGGCACACTCTAGAAGTACAGGAGTTTTGGGTATGGCTGGATCCTAAGGGCTCAAGAGAAGTTTCCAGGGCCCCCTCTCTCTCAGCATCCCTCAATTCTTCTTTCCATGCAGCCAGGCAAGATGGCTACCAACAGCTCTAGGCTTTCATTGACTATAG